GAAGCGACCAGCGCAGTGCATTTTGGAAGAAAAGGAAAGGGGAGAGATAAAAAAGGAAAACCTTTACGAAGAGAAGAAGAGGAAAGGGGAGAGAAAAAAAAAAAAAGAAAAGAAAACCCTTTAAAAGAAATAAGAATTAAAAAGTACAAATTAAAAAATTAAAAATTAAAAAATTAAAAAATTAATTAAAAAGATAAGAAAAGATATTTTTTAAATTATATAATATTCTAGTTAAAATGTACATGTCTTTTTTAATCCTATTCGAGCTATAAAATAATTTTTTTATCACATGTATATTAATCCATTAAAACAATCTGTAAAATTTCATGTAATTCAGTAAAAAGAACAAAAATTTCATTATTGCTAAATAGATTCATGTGATTTGATAAAGAATGACAGCAAATCGTGGAATATTTTTCTATAAAATTCACAGGGAAATTGAAAATGCTTGGGGGTGGAAATGAAGGAATGTCTACAGTACCTGGATTGAATCAGATACAATTTGAAGGGTTTTGTAGGTTCATTGATCAGGGCTTAATAGAAGGTCTTTTAAAGTTTCCAAAAATTGAGGATACAGATCAAGAAATTGAATTTCAATTATTTGTAGAAACATATCAATTATTAGAACCCTCAATAAATGAAAAAGATGTTGTATATGAATCGCTTACATATTCTGCTGAATTATATATATCCGCGGGATTAATTTGGAAAAGTAGTAGAGACATACAAGAACAAACTATTTTTGTTGGAAACATTCCTCTAATGAATTCTCTGGGAACTTCTATAGTAAATGGAATATACAGAATTGTAATCAATCAAATATTGCAAAGCCCTGGTATCTATTACCGTTCAGAATTGGACCCTAACGGAATTTCGGTCTATACCGGCACCATAATATCAGATTGGGGGGGGAGATTAGAATTAGAGATTGATAGAAAAGCAAGGATATGGGCTCGTGTGAGTAGGAAACAGAAAATCTCTATTCTAGTTCTATCATCAGCTATGGGTTCGAATTTAAGCGAAATTCTAGAGAATGTTTGTTATCCTGAAATTTTCGTGTCTTTCCTAAATGATAAGGATAAAAAAAAAATTTTACAATTTTTCTATTTATATTAAATAGATTGAATAAATAGATTGAATAGAAAAATTGTAAAAATGAAGACGATATGTTATGTGTTGTCCCGAACGAATATGACTGCAATAAAGTTAGAGACGGATCTATCTATATCTATCTATAGCTGGAATTAGATCTATGCGTGTAAAATAAATACAAGCCTTATTACATTACACACTCTAATCGTATTCTCCAAAAATAGTTCAAAATATCTCTTTTCTTTGCGAATTCCTTCCTTCGAAGTTGAGTTTAAAATTTTATTTTATTTCTCTTTTCATAATATATTAATCCATTAAAACAATCTGTAAAATTTCATGTAATTCAGTAAAAAGAACAAAAATTTCATTATTGCTAAATAGATTCATGTGATTTGATAAAGAATGACAGCAAATCGTGGAATATTTTTCTATAAAATTCACAGGGAAATTGAAAATGCTTGGGGGTGGAAATGAAGGAATGTCTACAGTACCTGGATTGAATCAGATACAATTTGAAGGGTTTTGTAGAATTTTTATTTTAATATTTGTTTTTATTAACTTTTCCTTCTTCCTTAAAGTATTTTTTAGATAACTCTGAAAAACAGATTATTTTAGTCATTGATTATAAAATTTAATTTCGTTAGAATATGATTTTAAAAGCCTAAACTTTTCATATATATATATATATATTATTTAATTATTTTGTTTACAAATTTTAGTTATTATGCAAATATTTCCCTCGATTATCAGCATCAAAAATCATATATTTGTTAATTTTAAATATAAGTTAATCTCACTATATATAATATTATTATTTTAAAAATATTTTTATTTAATTAAAATTATACTTTCATTGTCTTTTCTGTTCTTGATAACAAATTTTAAAAATTAATAGTTTAAAATATAAGTTAATTTTAGATAAGATTAATAAAATTAAATAATACAAAGTACTTTTATTGATCAATATAAAAGATTTTTTTTCTCTTATTTGTATTGGGAACCGAATGGAGTAAATAATAAAAATGAGGGGAAATATATCTTGTCATCTTTCTTCAACTTTTGGTAAACTTGTACTTCGTTTATTCTTCTTTCCCTTATAATAAAAATTTTAATTGGTTCATAAATAATTTGAAAAAAAATTCTAAAAGCTGAATTTTTTAAAGTTTCTTACCATTGGAGTAAATTTCTGTTTGAGTTGCTTAATGCTGACATGGCACAGTGGGGACCACTTTTTCCCGTTTCCAATGCATGAAGCAACTCAAATGAGTTGCTTCTATTGGAATGCCCTAAGAGTTACCCAACAAAAGTTGCGGGCTCGGTGTCTCTCACTCTTTCGTGACCCGGGGGACCATATAGTTGGTGTTGCTTACCTTTTTGTCCAACAATAAAAAAGTAAAAAGGAAACTTATCTTGTTTGATTTATGTCCCAAATACAGAGCTTCAGACAACAATGTGGATTAAGGTAAAAGAAATACTCAAGCCCACTTAGCAGACACTAGTTAGCCGGTTGGTACTGTCCCCGGAAAAGGTGCCAGGCCAGAACATAGTTTGCTTTACACAAAGCACTGCGAGTGTGTCTTAATTCTTTATGTTTTAATCAAAATCACAAAACAAACTATTTCATGTGTAACAGTGTAAATGAGATTGGGCATGCTATTTGTACTCATCATATATTGTTCATTAAGCATATTCTTTCAAATTAAAGCATATAGTCTAGTTCCTAGTAACATGGCGCGTATGTACAAATTATTTTCTTCGCTGGAAGACAGATCACAGATAATTCAAATTTAATAGTAGTGACGATATGTTGTAATAGTTACAAATATATATAGGGGACAAAGATGCAAACGGATACATAGGTAAGTGCTGATATGATAACATTAATTTCAGTAAAATTGCATCTCATACTTTGCGAAAGAAGCTGAAATCTTGAGCATGTGATTGATGGTTGTGGCCCATGTCTTGTAACGACGGAAATCATCTGCCATGTCTAGCTTGAAAATGCCTCCTCTTGTTGTTAGAACAATCAGATAACACGTATCAGCATCCTCAGCTTCTGAGCCTTTGTACAGTTCAGCATGCAGAGTCATTACAATATCTGTATGTAGCCATAGCCAGTGCCGTGACTCATCATGCCTTCTACTCTAAGTTTTAAATAAAGTAAAACAAAAGAATAGAACATGGTGGGAAAATTAAAAAATACACATACCCTCCTTCTTGCTTTTGAATAGATTATGCTTCCTCATCATAAGTACAACCTGTAGTTTTAGAGTAGGGATCATTGCACCAAGAGTCAGAGAGACAAAAGTATAGCTACATCAGTAATGTTAGAATTAATCATAATGTCCAAGTTAATCATAAACTCATTTTCTGGACATAAAATTCAAAAGGTAAGATTCCCACTCCGTAAGTTTCAATAGTTGAAATGATAACACTTAGTTAACTTGAAGAAGTAATTAGATTTTACGGTGTCTAAATTCTGTTTTGATAGAAAGTGTATCATACTATTATTATTAACTGAGTCATGCCATGGAAAGTAGCTTTGGCGATTTTTCTGGATATGTTTTCGGTTCATAATCCTATTGAGCCAAATAAAAGTAGATAGACATAAAAAGTAAAAACTACCCATGATCCTGACCTTGGCTTCGCTGTCTAGGATTACAGACACTGATCTAGGCATGTACTTTCCTGTTCAGACATAATTGAAGTAAAGCACAAATTAGAAAATCACATGATGCATACTGCATAGTAGTTAAGAATTATGCCACTGCATAACAGGGCTGCATCATAACTGTACCTTCTGGTGTTTCTACATATAACTCAGCACCCTGTGCAAGAATGGATCTGCCTTTTTCAAAGTCAAAGTCTAAATCATTGTTGTCTTCAAGGGGCAAGATAGGAACTCCCCCATTCAATCTGTTCTTGCATCCTGATCTTACTTTAAGTGTGGCTGCTCCTTTTAATGCTGCAGTTGGCAACAGTTTTTGGTCAACAAAGGACATAAAGCATGGTGCATGGACGCCAAACGAAATCAGAATTATGAAAAAGACATGTTTTCCCTCAATTGCATGTTTCTTTTGTTGGGTGAAGTACTTTATCTTACTAATTTCTTCGTATAGATATATTAAAATAAAACATGAGGAAATAGACCTAATAAAAAGTAAAAAAGTGCCTTTTCTTATGGGGAAGGGACACGTCAAGAACCATCTAATTTCAATCGGGCCAGGCATTTTATTTTCAACCCTTTTGGCACCACCAAACCAAATTTTTAGTTCCAAAATCTGTAGCCAAATCTTGCATCTGCACCCCTTTTCTCCAAATAAAATAAAAGTATCTAAGAAAATGGATGAAAATAAAATAAGGAAATTACATGTTGCAGCTGCGGCAGTGAGAGTTAGGATGTCGGTTGCACTTGTGCCACTCATGGCTGAGCCAATTACACTGCTAAGTTGCTCTTTCTTTGCCCCCATTGCTTCAGCTACTTTTGCACACTGTGCTGCAACCAACGCAGCAGCAGAGGCCACTGCTGCATCTCTGTCTTGGTTTGACTCCTTTTTAGAATTGTCAGCAGCAATGGCAGCTAGAGCTGCTGCAACCCCTGCAACTGATATTGCTGCATGCACTTCTGCTCTTTGCAACCTCTGATCTTCTTTCTTCTTCATCTTTATTTCCTTAAACCATTTCTTTATTGACACACTTTTCAGTGGTACGATCTGCTTCCATGGCATCTGCATGGTAATGAACTAATAATATACATGTAACTGTAACAATAAGATTGAGAGATCATAACTTCACTACATACCCATTTCTTTCGGAAACAGCTGTTGTAATTCAATTCAGGATGCATCGCTTGCTGCATCCATATCCATGACTGAAAAAAAAAAAAAAAAACTAATCACGAGAGGTTGATTCTCAATTTGGGATCATTTGCTTGTGTCTTGTAATTTCTTACCTTAACATTATTAGACTTCCATCCTGGCAAAGAACTGAAATCTGCACCATCCATTCTAGCACTTTTTTCCATCTTATGCAAAGTTTCATAAATATTGAGCACAAATGAGTAAGTTGAATAACATTAGAACAATTAATGCTATGCCCTCTTATTAATGAAAATTTAAAAAACATAAAAAAGTTCAATAGATTTTTGGTTTAACACTTTAACTAACATATATCAAAGATACTGTAAGAGGATTCAGAATTATTGTATTGCTAATAGTTCAAGCAGTTTGACTCACCGAAGGAAGAGCATTGGGGCTAGCAGGCTCTAATTGCTTCATGGAATTATTATCAACTAGAACAACTGGTCCATGTTGTGGCTCAGGATTCAGAGCCTGCACAGCGAAGTTACACCATGCATGTGAAAGAAAATCCATAGTCTCGGGATGTGCATCCGAAGGGGATAGGTTAAACTCGGAAGCCATGCTAATAATGCGATCAATCTTCAGAACCAAGACTATCTTGGAACAGGATGGTAATTATTCAGCTACGCGGTTTCAAATATGAAAATATGTAGGCGAGCATGCATGCATATTTATACATGCTAAATCACCATGCTAACAATATAATGATTTGTAAACCCCACTACTCTAACCAAAAAAGTAAAAGGGAGTGTCTTTTAAACTAGCAGTATAGTATACTCAATATCCCATTAAACAAGGACATGACACCGCCACAGTAAGATTTTTGATACCGCTTGTTAAATCAAAAAAGTAGTTTATGGATCTTTTTACTTAAAATGGTCACCCCTTAACTTATTCTTAATGTGGAATTTCGTTACTCAATTGATTTTCAAAATTTTGCGATAATATGTATAATTAAATTAACAAATAGGACATGGCAAAAGTCGACAGAAAGAAAGTGGTATCATATGCTACCTTGTCATCATTGATCATATCGATCCATTGTATGAATTTTGAATCAAAAGCAAGGCTAAGCAAGTGATTATGTACTGATATTTTGGGCACTAGTTGCTACAGAGTATAGTCCAATAACTAATAATATCTCGTTACAATGAAAGGTTTCTGGGGAACAGGAATATGGAGACGATGGAACAATTGTATATTACAGATGGAAAGTGCCGATACACTTGATATAATTGTACATAACTTTTCGTGAAGTTGCTGATGATGTGGAAATTAAGGGACCTACGTGATATTGAAAGGGTTATTTTGCTTATAGATTTAGATTGTAGAAAACAAGCCCCCGAAGATTCGAATGAGAGATAACACATGCTAGCCATAATAGAACATTGTGGGATTAGTATAAAGACTAAAGAGGACCCTTTCCTTTATGCATCTTTAAATGAAAGCCATAAACTTAAGGCTAAGCATGATGCATCTTGAGATGATAAAATAATGAAAGGCTAATTGCCAGAGGACCAGGGCCACCACATAAGCATCCATGAGAAAAACAGGCTAGAAAAAGTGGGGGGCTATTATAACCTAGCATGCTCGTGGGCCAATGCTGATGGAAAGAAACTAGACATGTATGATTGCATTGAATGAAAGGAAGCTAATGCTATCATTATGGTTAAGCATTTTTCATTAGAATAATTAAACACTTGATTAGCTTGCTTGTTAAATAATAACGATAAAGGTTAGCTTTTCGATCGTCATCTTGAAAAGAGCGTGAAAAGCTAATTGAGTAGGCTATGGCCTATGGCATTACAAACAACTACATATGATGGACGGAATGATGTTTAATTTAGGTAAACATTTGTGGGGATTTGCTTCAAGGCGTGCTGATTACGTTCATCTAACAAGCAAATACTTTATACGTTAGAGATGCTAAGAGTGTTTATAATTCATGTTTTTTTTTTTTCCTTTTGTAATGTGAATACCCGAGAACATGTTACACGTCTAGGATCAATGTATTCGTACTTATTTGATTATTGAAAAAGACAAAACATTGTTAAATTATTTAGAATCCAGGTAAACGTATGCCGTATCATGTATGGTGTGTATGACATAAGGTTGATATATATATATACAGAGAAGAGAGATGGAGAGAGTGATATACATGATTAGTAATGGAAAATAAAGAGTTAAGAAAATTATATTAGATGTGAAAGAAGATAAAAGAAAAAGTAAGTATATATATATATTAAATGTTGTACTTGCCAAAGATATTCTTTATGTATTATTATTTATCATTTCTTTGTTGATCACTTTCATGAATTGTCAATGGTACGAGGGAGATGTATATGCAAAAAGAATTATGACATTTAAGTAAGGAATTCGCTTAGAATAATAAATCTAGTAAAAAATGAACAATAATTACATTTTGATAAAAAAAATATTATTTTATATTAGTTGAAATGAACCAATTTTTCAATAAGTTGTTATCCATAATTATTGATTAGGAAATACATTTCTAATCTTTTCTTTGATATAATTAGACTTAATTTTCTCAATTATTCTCCTAATTGTGTGTCATCTACTTTAGCTCTTCAACAACTTATGCCTGATAGGCTTGACTCTTGGCAATCTCAGTTATCAAGGGTAGGATTGTCAAAACGAGCTAGTCCAACCTGTTTGGCTCAATCCACCTTAACCCACTTTCTTAATGAATTGGCTTGGTTTGACTCATTAAAGTTAATGTTCATAATTTTGTAATTCAGCTTGACCTATTACGAGTTGGTGGGCTAAATAGGTTGACCCACTAATCCAGCTAATTTTTTTTTAAAAAAATCTAATTTAAAATAAATTTCAATTTAAATTAAACTCTGATATAAAATAACATCTAATTTAAAATAAAAATTGTCAAATTAAGTATCATGCATATAACATGAAATATAATTAAAAAAGTGTGCAAATTTAAATAAATAAATAAATAATATTGTCATTAGACTAGTTATTCACCAATATTAAATTTCATTAGATACTTAAGTAGATAAATCTATAGTAATTTTCATGTTGTTTAATATTAACTTTATTTTTCTCTAAAAAAAATGGTATCTTATTAAAATAATACACATATAACAATAAATGGTTAAGTGGACCATTGATAGGTTGGGTTGATGAGAGGTATAAGTGGGTTAGGTGGACATTGCGGTCCACCATGGGTTCAATCCATGTGAATTACGTCAAAAGTGGGTAGAGTTGAATTTTTGGACAAATTAAAAGTTTTTTGATTTTTTTTTGTCCAACCTTACCGTTTTCAAAGTAGGTTGGGTTGACCTATGAGTTGGAATTCAATTTGATAACTATAACCGAGGGGTGCCAATATTTGAGGGCTTATATCTCGTACGTGTCCTTACACCTGATAAACTGAGTCTTTGACAATCGAAGTTGTCAAGGAATATCAATTAGACTAGTTTTCAATCTCTTAAAAGTTTTTTATTATCGAAGGTGATATTTGGTATAAATGTTTTTACATTATTAAAGTATATATTGTAATCTTTTGATAATGAATTTGATTTTTCAAATAAAAAAATTTCTTAATTAAAATTAAAATTTTATCTTAATAATTTATATATTATAAACTCACAATAAATATTAATTGGTAAAATTATCTGAGTATAACTCAAATTTTAATTAGACAACACCAACTAAAAAATTAACAATACACACATAAAAAAGAACAATGCCTAAATTTTATTCTTATAAAAAAATTGTCTCGACTTTAAAATGATATATGGAAGTTAGAAAATATCTAGATAACTGAGGTATTTTGTATTGGATCACCACCCAAATCCAAGCCCATAACTTATTATTTGGATCTCATATTCAAAGAGGCCGAATCCAATATTGAATCATATATTGTGGGTGATTTTATTTGTATTTTTTACTTTTTACATTTTAGAAATTAGTTTTTTATTTATTTAATTTTTTTTAAATTAATGTACGGAGTGTAAAAAAACAGAGGATACAATTGAAAAAAGAGGTTTTAATAGAATTTTCTTATATATATATATATATATATA